TATATATATATATATATATATATATATATATATATATATATATATATATATATATATATATACATGTATAAACATATACACATCTATATATCTATACATGATATTAATATAGATAATAAAAAGAAAAATAAAAAAAAGGAGCAGGGTGTTGATTTGTTTTTATTTTTTTTTTTTTGCAGGTCCAGCCGGCTTGATATTTAACACGGGTAATTAAAATATTTAATTTATAAAAATAATTAAATAAAATTAATAAAATAAATAAATAAATAAAATTATATATAATAGGATTAAATTTAAATAATAAATTTAGTTTTTTATAATAATTTATTTTTTTTGTGTTTTATTTTATTAATTTTATTTTAAGGTTTTGTTGGGGACGCCTATTACTTTCTGCGTTTATTATATTATTTGTTTTTGTTTTTTTTTTCTTTTTTTATTTATTTTTCTTTGCCGCCATTTGTAAAAGACAAAGAACCCACTACAACAGAAGAACGCATGCGAGCCAGGTCTGTCTTTGTCTTTTTCTTTTTCTTTTCCTTTTCTTTCTCTTTTTCTTTGTCTTTTTCTTTGTCTTTTCTTTTTCTTTCTCTTTTTTGTTTTCTTCGTCTTCGTCTTTGTCTTTTTCTTTCTCTTTTTCTTTGTCTTTGTCTTTTTGTTTGCCTTTGTCTTTGTCTTTTTCTTTGTCTCTGGCTTTGTCTTTTTTTGTCTTTGTCTTTGTCTTTGTTTTTGTGTCTTTGTCTCTCTCTCTCTTTTATTATTTGTTTATTTATTTATTCAATCACCCTAAACCCTAAACCCTAAACCCTAAAACCCTAAACCCTCGATAATAAAAAGTAAAAATAATATTTGGTTATTTGTAGTTAATAATTCATTGTTAATCATAATTTTATAATTTATTAAATAAATAAAATAATTTTATAATTTATTAAATAAATAAAATAATTTTATAATTTATAATTTATTAAACAAAATAAAATAAATTTGTAATTTATTAAATAAAACAAAATAAATTTATAATTAATAAAATAAAACAAAATAAATTTATAATTAATTAAATAAAACAGAATAAATTTATAATTTATAAAACAAAATAACTTTATAATTTTTTAAATAAAACAATAAATTTATAATTTATAATTAATAATTTATAAAACAAAATAAATTTATAATTTATTTAATAAGATGGATGCATGCAGAGTGTGGCAGAGTTGGTTGATGGCTTTTGTCTTCGCTTGGGTCGTCGCTGGCGTTGTATCTCAGGTGCTTTTCTTTATTTTATTTCATTCAGTTATATTAAAAAAATAAATTAAAATAAATTAAAATAAATTAAAATAAATTAAAATATATTGAAATAAATAAATATAAATAAATGTAAATATGCAGCTGTTTTGTTCTGCTGTTGTTTGCTTTTGTTTTGCTTTATTTCGGTCTTTAATTATATAATTAAATGAGATAATGTATTTGTTTGTATACATATATATATATATATATATATATATATATATATATATATATATATATATATATGTGTGTGTGTG